AAGTCTGAAATATGCAAGTTAAGAGATTTCAACCCAAGTTAATTCACGACTTTTCGATTGTTAGTATCCACAATCATCTTCGGTTGATGACTGGACCGATTCCTCCGTTAGATGACTATTTATAGATTATTTGAGTTTAGTGGGAGATGATCGTTTGGCGGGAGTTGCCCATTTTTCGCCTGATTATGAGTTTCCATATATTGTTTATCTCTACGCTAGCTTGGCTGAATACATTGTTGGATAACATGTAAGTGGCTTCTTTGAATTTTCTCCTGAACCAATGTTCCTCTTTGTGTATGATCTCAGCTTGGGACCATTCGATGTTATGTTCATGGGTCCAAACATGCTCTGTTTTTCCTGATTTGCTAGTTTCTCCTCGCTGTGTGTGTTTCTTGTGCTCGGCAAGAGCACAGTTTCATCGATATAGGATTTTCCGCACTCAGAAGGTGTTGTGTATTACATATATTTATATATTTGGGACACCCGTGATATCATTAGTGTAAATTATTATCCAGTTGTCAAATAGATGTCAATTAAAAAGATCACAAAGAGAAGTCACATACTGATTATAAAGTGGTATTAATACATATATCAAATCAAATACTACTCATTCACAACAGTTTTGGTGACGAGGTGAATTAGAAATATCATGATAAACAATAAAAAAATAAAATAAACATTCCAAAATGGACGCCCAACAGTTCAAAGAATTAATGGAATTTCAAACTGCAATATCTACTCTCTTTTCTCAATTACAAAGTTCACAGAGTCAGACAAACCGTGAATCATCAAGCAAGGGAGAAATTGTGATGAATATAGCACTTTTAACTAACTTCGAAAATTTTGACAGCAAGAAAGAATCGTTTTCAAATTACAAAATGAGGTTCCAGAATTACCTTCAAATGAAGCAGATCAATACAGATAAGCCTTATTGTGCTCAATTGCTACTAAATTCTATTGGAGCTCAAAATTTCAACATGAGTACAGCTTTGGCTGCTCCTAAAACTCCTGATCAGTTGACATATGATGAATTGATAAAGTTATTGAAAGATCATCTTGCACCAAAGAAGAACGTTTTAGTTGCTCAACATCACTTTTTGTCAATCTATAAAAATGAACAACAATCAATTCCAGAATTTATAAGTACACTCAAGAGTAATATAAGTGACTGTGAATTCACATGCGAGTGCAAGAAATCAGTTGCAGAAATCTTCCTAACAGCTCAATTCATTCGTGGCTTATACGATGATAGCATTCGTGAACAATTACTTCAGCCTGATAGCAAAACTTTCAAAGACATTTTTACGAGATCAATTGCGCTCGAATCTTCAAAAATTGATACTCGCAAAATTGCCCAGAAAAAAATTTCAACGTCATCTTCAACAGTTGATATCAATAAAGTCAACTGTTCACACCAAAATGTTCATAAAATGCACAGAAATCATTCACGTTCATATATCCTTTCAAGAACTAGAAAATCGAGGTACAATAGGCCACTCAGTCGCAAATATAACCTTGAATCACTAGGACTGAAGAATATTTGTCTTAGGTGTGGGAAATCCAATCATATCACAAAAGATTGTCACACTGAACAAACCTCACTTAAATGTACCTTATGCAACAGGACTGGTCACGTTTTTAAGGTCTGCATAATGTCATTAGTTGCAAAAAAGACAAAATCTGAATCGGCTAATCAAATTCAAAGCGACGATTCATATGAAATCGCACGACAATATGGTGTTCAACATATTGTTGATATTCATCAAAATCATAATAGTTCTGACACTGATATGAATCGTTATTACGCCCACGTCAAAATAGAAGGAAAACCAATCAAATTCGAAGTAGATTCGGGATCAGCTTATACGTTTCTTCAACGTCAACAATTACAAGATTTGAATCTGAATATTCCTCTTGAACCAGCAACCATCGGATTCCGCTCATATACTCAAGATGTTTTCATACCCGATGGGAAGATTGTAGTTAACGTTTCTTATGGTAACATCAAAATAAAAGAAGATGTTTATATTGTGCCAGATAATTACGCTGCTATTCTTGGTAGAATTTGGATCCGACGCCTCAAGATAGATTTGAATCAACTAAGTCAATCTCCACAGGTTGAATCTGAAAGATTCAACCTGTGGAGTGTAGATGAACTAAGCGCAAAATATCCAAATGTTTTCGAAAAGAAAATTGGATGTGTTCCAGGTTTCAATGTTGTTCTCGAATTACGTGAAAGTATACAGCCATGTTTCTATCGTGAACGTGAAATTCTCTACGCACTCAACACATTGGTTGAAAAAGAGTTGGATGCTTTGAAACCCGTTCATCATGAAAAATCAGCATCATCAAATAAAAAGCCACGACAATTCAGCGTGGGAGAAAGAGTTCAAACAAGGTATTACACAAATAATAAACAGTTATGGAAGACAGGAGAAATTATCAAGAAATTTGGGCTTCTTCACTATCAAGTGAAACTCGATGATGGATATATTTTGAAGAGACATATTGATCAGATAAGATCGACCAACTTGTCCAAAAGTAAATCCGTCTTTTTCGCACCTGAAGTAGAAGTTACTTATGAAGATCAATCAAAACAGCCTAATATAACTGATTTGGTGACAATTCCAGTGCAAGAGGAACAAGCCAATCAACCGGATAATATTCAAAATGAGGTGTTTGAACCAGATCAAATTGAAGTACCTGATGATCAAATACCTCATCCACCAATCAACATAACAGAGTTCAGAAGATCAGGCTGCCCTGTTAAACTTCCATCGCGCTTCAACGATTACATAGTTGAAAAAAATAATTCAATAAGCATGGGAGATTGTTGTGTATTACATATATTTATATATTTGGAACACCCGTGATATCATTAGTGTTAATTATTATCCAGTTGTCAAATAGATGTTAATTAAAAAGATCACAAAGAGAAGTCACATATTCATTATAAAGTGGTATTAATACATACATCAATTCAAGTACTACTCAGTCACAACAGGAGGTATCCGGTAAAGGCAATTCTTGGAATCTCAGTTCTCGTTTGGTGGCCTGGTTTTCGTCAGGCTGCTACGGATAATTTTTCCGGATCTGAAGCAGGTTCTGATGTTGTACTTGTATCCAATTCTTCATATCTTCTTCGATAATACCCTGATGTAGGGTAGTGCAAGCACTGGTTGTGACGGCTTCTCTTTCTTTTGGGGCTCCTGCTGTCTTTTAGCCAAAGTCTGTTCCACCATCGCTTTGGGGTAGCCATTTCGTTTAAAATCATTTTTGATGATGTCTAGTTTCTTCTCGAGACCTTCCTTCGTATTACAAAGTCCGAAAGCACGGTCTAATAGAGTTTGTATGATCTCTCTTTTAATCGATTGATGGTGTTGGGATTCATGGTTCAGATACTGTCCTGTGTGGTTGTGTTTTCGGTATACAGATGTTTCCACTTAGTGTCGGCGACTTCACCAATACGTCTGAGAATGGCAATTCGTTGTGGGCTTCCTTCTCCATTGTAAAAGTGATGGAAGGTCTTACGCTGTTGATGTGTTTCAGGAAGGTGTCTGGTTCAGTATTCCCATGGTTTCATATTATGAAGGTGTCATCAACGTATCTCAACCAGACACGAGGTTTCTTGTGGGCTTCTTCAATGGCCACAGTTTCAAACCCTGGCGCAGTCCCTCATCTTGTGTCAAGAATTCGTCTTTCAGTTGGAAATAACAGTTTCGTACACAGCATCCTAGTAAATCCATAATTACTTCTATAGGTAAATTCGTTCTATCTTTCAGGTCCTCGCCTTCGGATAGCTTCTTCTGTATGACTTAGAGTGCTTCTTCGACCGGAACGTTGGTATAAAGGCTTTCCACGTCAAAAATGATCAGTTGATCTTCATGTGTGTCTTCAATTGCCCCTAACAGTTAGACAAAATGTCTTGAATTCTTCACAAAAGACGATG